TCTTGCCAAAGAACCATCCCTGGGAGCTCCACACCCTGGGTACAGCCCCACAGGCATCAAATCAGCTTCTCTCCTACCACCAAGCCTTGAAATACACAGTTCAGGACCAGCATTTCCTGAGGCTGATCCAGAAAGGACCCAGCAAAGCCTCCAGGGAGGACCCAAACCTGCCACGAGCCTCTCCATGCTCTGAGAGCAGCACCAGGGAAAAGCAAGACAGGGAATTCACACACAGCTGCAGCAACAGCCAGGCTGGTGTGCAAAATTCCTGCAGCCAACTGTTTGCTTTTCAGGGAAGAAGGAGGAGGAAATTTCCTGTGTATGAGTGGAAAAAGCAATGTTACCTCTTTCTCCAGCGTCCTGTACCCACACAAGGTGTTAATGACTTCTCCAGGGACCTGTGAACAGAGAATTGGTGAAAAAACTTCTCTCAGCATAAGACAAAGGGGAAACACAAGAAATAAAAACAGAAAATATGACCTAAAAGAGCCTGCCCAGCTGCTGGGACCATTCAGCATAGCCCAAGGCAAGGTGTCTCCTCACACCTTACTTTGCTACCACAGGTCCCATTTTGGCCCAGAGGTGATGCAGAAGCTGCAAATGTTGGTAGAAAGTCATTTAGCTTGACAATTATGCTTTTTAAACCACTTTCCCCTCTGTTTTCTGCTGGTTTGGAGGCTGCTCAGGCCCCCAAAATGCTTTCCCAGGTCACACAGTCTCCAGCAAAGCTCTTTCAAACCTCGATCTTCTCCTTGTTTAACTCCATCCACCTTTTCTAACACCTTCAGCTGTGTCTCTCCTTCATAACAAAGGGAATTTCACAGGGAATAAAGGCATTGGGCTGGCCAGAAATCAAGAGGGAATTTCCTCAAAATCTTCCACGCATTTTGAGGAGCAACAAGGATTTTAGACATCCCTAAGGCTTAGAGATTTGTTGGCCAACTAAAGTGTGTCAAGAGCTGCAGCTGAATGAGAGAAATCCCAGTCAAATATTGCTTTTTAGGACCTCTAGAGGTGCCCTGAAGTGCCAAGAACCAAATCTCTGAAGAACTAAGCTGCATCTATCTGCCTGATTTCTGTTCTCCACAGGAACAGTTTCATTTCTCACAGAGATTTACATGTGTTTGGTGAGGTCTCACTTCCCATAAAACCACTGCAGCTGTCAGAGCCACATTCCTGGGCTTTAATTCCTGATAAAACACATTCTACAGTGATTTTTTTCCCTCCTAGAGGCTGTTTGTTCTTCTCCACTGGAGCATCTTCCAGAGCAGCTCATTGAATCACAGAATCATGGAATGGTTTGGAAATCCTGTTCCCTCTGCCATGGGCAGGGACACCTTCCCCTAGCCCAGGTTGCTCCAAGCCCCATCCAATCTGGCCTGGAAGCTCAAAACTTGCCTTATTTCTTACCCTAGTGTATCAATCATCTGTGATTTTCCTCTCTCCCTGCTGTGCTGAGGTTTTTCCTTTGCCAAACTGTCACCCAAAATCGTGAGGAGTGTAAAAGCACTGAAAGATTCACTTGGATCTCTCTAACACATCCTGACTTGTAACACAAAAGGACAACACATGAATTTCTAATTCCACCTCCAGGAGCTTTAGGATTTTTAATCAACGCCCTGATTAGAAATGACAATTAGTTTTGCATCTGATTTGCATGTCAGACTTCCACTGCTAATTAAACCACCTCAGATTTCCTTCTTTTCCCATTAAAAATAAAAAAACCTAACAACAATACAAGATGGATGATAAATTCTCCTTGTGCCATTAGCAAGTCCTGGGGCATGGCCAAGGTTCCGAGCCAACGCTGATACTCCTGATGCTCCCAAGGAGGTTTTGCTACCAGGATTATGCTCAGCAAACCCTTTTTTGGGATGTTTAGAGTGTTGCTGCCCACAGCAACCAGGGATATTTGCACTTTTTGCCCCTGTCTTGGCCCAGCTCCTGGAGTTTCAGCCACAGCATGTGTTGGATTGATTGCACCAAGGCCGACGGCTGCGTGAACCACGACGGGCTGAGCACTGTGCTCAGGCTCAGCAGAAAAGCACTTGCTTGGTGGGGGGTGACTTGATTTTCAGCTCTGTAAATCAGCACAGGAGAACTTAATGGCTCTGCAAATCCATTCCCTCTGGAGCTCATCTCCACTCAAGCCAACGTGCAGCGTGTTGGAAACGAGGGCAGAGGCTCATGAGGCTTCTCTCATCCCATTGCACTTGGTCCAAAACATCTTCCTAGCCTCATTACATCCTCACAAATCTCCTCCTGAGGAGCAAATTCAATCCCCACATACCACTAAGCCTGACAGCAGCCAGTGAGAAACATGCTGGACAGGACAGCAGAGGACAAGAGTTCACCTGGATCCATGTTGGGATGCAGCCAAGTTATAGAATCATGGAATGGTTTGGGCTGGAAGGGATCAGGAAGACCAATTCCACCCCCAGGGACACCTTCCACTAGCCCAGGTTGCTCCAAGCCTCATCCAACCTGGCCTGGAACATTCCCAGGGATGGAGCAGCCACAGCTTCTCTGGGAATTCCAACCAGTGTCTCAGCACCCTCACAGGGAGAAATTCCTTCCCAATACCCCATCCAACCCTTCCCTCTGGCAGTGGGAAGCCATTCCCTGTGTCCTGTCCCTCCATCCCTTGTCCAAAATCCCACTCCAGCTCTCTTGGAGCCCCTTTAGGCCCTGAAAGATGCCCTAAGCTCTCCCTGGATCCTTCTCCTCCTTCTATGACACTGCTATTTTTTGCCAAAACAATCCTCCAAACCATTTTATATCACACAATAGAAAAACCTCTAACAACTCCTTGGCATGCCACAAGTACAAACAGCCCAAGACTTTGCTCTACATTAATCCAGCAGAGTAAAACACAGTGTAGCCCATGGATATGTTTCAGTCTGTTTATCACCTCCTGCTGCTGCTGCCTCCAACCCCTTTGCACACTGACACTGCAGCGACCAAGGAACCCCAGGACACAGGATTATGCAGCAATAAGCAGTTGGAAGAAGGTGTTCTGCTGAAAAATTGGCTGAATCAAGGCACTTCTCATGTCTCAGCTGCCTTACCTTCCTGATACAGCAGGTGTAGGGCACCCCACAGGCCAATGGGCCAGTGCCATTGCAGGAGTGGTACTGGTTCACCTCCCAGTCTCGGTACTCATCACCACCACAGCAAGAAAACTGCAAGGAGGAGAGGAGGAGAGGGTGAGAAGTGCAGCTGAACCAACATTTCCAAGTGCCAGGACAAGGGGGAATGGCTTCAAGTGGCAAGAGAGGAGGGTTTGATGGGATATTGGGAGGGAATTCTTCCCTGTGAGGTGGTTGCCCAGAGAAGCTGTGGCTGCTCCATCCCTAGGAGTGTTCCAGGCCAAGTTGGACAGGGCTTAGAGCAACCTGGGCTGGAGGAAAGTGTCCCTGCCTAGCAGGGGTAGAACTAGATGGACATTAAGGTCCTTCCAACCCAAACCACTCTATGATTCTATCTCCATCCCCCCAACACATCTCCCTCCAACCTTGTCTTGCAAATTCACCACCAGCACTGAGAGCCCCAATCATTTTCTCTTCCAGGACCCTAAGAGGAGGTTGAAGACACCATGCTAAGAAAGACACGTGGGTGTTTAGCCCTGGTTAGCCCCAATCCAGAGCTGTGCAGCAGCTGCAGGTGCACACACATGTGTCAGAGACATCTTTGCTTCCAGGAGCCCAGGGAGGATCAGGCTCATTCATGCTTCACTGATTTAATTACAGGTGACTAATCCATCCTATTCCCAGGAGAGAAGCCTCTTCCAGCACCCTGAATGGATGTATTTCTCAGCTCTTCAAGACAGCTCAGCTAAGTTGGTGCCATTCGACAAAATGCTAATTAGGCTCCCAAGTCTAACAGAGATTTCTCTTCCCGTCAAGTTAAATTAGAGATCAAATGCTACAACTACAAAGGGGAGGGAAAAAAACCAAAAAGCAGCCTCTTTTTTTTCCTCCTTCTGTTCACACAATGAAAGGGAAAAAAAAAAGAAAAAAAAAAGTTTAATGAGAGTCATTTTCTGTTCTCCAGAGAATAAAAGTAGGTTTCTTCTAAACCAAGTCATCCCTTCTGGTAGTAAATAGGTTGATTCTTGATGGGTTTTTTTCCCCAGAAAGAAAAGCCTGAGGTGGGCAGGAGAAAGGTGTGTGCTTGGTGAGACAAAAAAAAAATAAAACAGGTTTTCCCCTGGTTTTTTTAAGCATCTCATGCTTCAAGGAGCAGTTTTGGGAGAGGTTTAACCCTGTGAATATCTGCTCCCCTCGTGCTGATGGGCTGGGACAATACCCCAAAAATATGGGAAAAACTACTGTTTCTGCTTCAGTGGTGCAGGGAGTGATCTACTCCTTGCAAAACTTCACTCCCAGAGCTCCCCAGTGCCATCCCAAACCAAACCAAACCTTTTGTTGCACAAAGTCCAAGATGTTCTTGAAGTCAAGGTCATCATAGTAGTGCCTGATGCCCTCTTGGATGTTAGAATGGAAAACTTCATTCATCTGGGGATAGAAAAGCCCAAAAATAAGGTTCATGCATGGGAAAATACTGCAAAGCACAAAGTTTTCCATTGCTGTTTCTGGAGTAAGAATGTAACCCTGGCATAAACCTATTTCTTGGGGTGAAATCCATCAGTTTTGAGCTCCCAGAACACCTCTGCATTCCCTGCACATCCAGCAGACACACACCTTCACCCACCTGATTTTTTCTGCTCAGTTTATTTAAGGTGACTTCTTCAGGAGCTCCTTCAAGCTCTCCCCTCCCATGGATTTTCTTCAGGAGCTCCTTCAAGCTCTCCCATCCCATGGATTTTCTTCAGGAGCTCCTTCAAGCTCTCCCATCCCATGGATTTTCTTCAGGAGCTCCTTCAAACTCTCCCATCCCATGGATTTTCTTCAGGAGCCCCTTCAAACTCTCCCATCCCATGGATTCTCTTCAGGAGCTTCTTCAAGCTCTCCCATCCCATAGATTT